TTGTTGTGTTAATCTAGTTGTCTCTAGAAATTGTTTATGTATTTTTGCACATTTTTCATGTGGATTAGGAAGTTTTGAAAACCGTTTTGTGGATAGGTGGTTAGGAAAACCAACAAAACCGGCCAAACATGAGCGAGCTCAAAGCTTGTTTGTCTTCGGCTTATTAAAAATTTTTTTATGTATGAAATTAACTCTGCCTTCAATAGCTTGAAAATAATTTTGTTAGGATTCAGCTGGATTAAATATAATGCTATTTGCATACGCACCCTAAATATTATTATTTACAAATCTAACACCTTCCTTCATCCACTTCTCAAATTCTTGCTCAAATATCAAAAGTCATGGCTAAATACAGCTTGTGTCACACATAAATACATCAGTTTTGGTATTTTAATAATTTTACCTTTATTTTATAAACAGGTCCTGGATGCTAAATTCTACAGAAATATTTCAGGTGCTATTAATGTAATTATCGCCAAATTTAAACTTGATGTAATTATCGCATAATCAGCTAGATTTCAGTTAATTTTATATAATAAATAAAAACCAAACCTATTGTAGCAATTGTGATGGAATTTATCATGTTAATAGAGAGATGTTGTCAAACTTTTGGTTGCGAATCCAAATTTAATTTTATCTTCTTTAATGAAGTGGAAAGGTTGACTGCCACAATCTCAACTCTATAATGTACTTACCATATTAGTTACGCCATGCCTAAGAATATTATCCCTTTCTTGGCTTAACATATAGGGTTTTGGTTGTGAGATGGCTCATTAAGAGAATAGAAATATAAAATATGACAATAATAGAGAAATATTTAAAATTTACAACTTAGATTCTTCTATCAAATGATTTCCCCATTGTCTTATTTAGTTTATTATTTTTTGAACATTTTTATTATAATGAATATTTGACTCTTAATTATTTCTCTCTTCCCTATCAAATTTGACTATAATAGTGAATGATCTCAGTTTGAAATACTTCGATCCTTCACTGTCCTCATTCGATTATAATGAAGTTAATCCATTTATTACCTCTTTTGAGGATCTTTCTTTGGTGCTCAGACTATAAATATCGCACGTATATATAACTTTTATTCATTAAAAAAAGCCTAGTTAACTCGAATCATATGAGTTCATTTCAGCCTTAGGTTAAAAAAATAGAAATACGTAAAAAATAAGATCATCTTTGTCGTGAGATATGTACTTCATGGCATAGAAATGACACGCAAAGAACACAAGCAAACACAGATTGTTTACGTGGTTCGATCCAACTGGATCTACGTCCACGGGAGAGAATCAATCAAATAGTTCACCAAGGCAAAAGAAATGGAGAATACATAGCTTATACATAGAGATGAGCCCTCATCTTTCTTCTATAACCTCCCTCTCAAGCGATACCTTGATACAAGGCCTCTTCCTCCTCTCTAGCTCTCTAGCTATTCTTTCCTCCTTTGTGGTAGCTCAAGATCTATTATGCTTACTCTCCTAAACCTCACACCCTCTCTATTTATAGAAGCTTACTCTCCTAAACCTCACACTCTCTCTATTTATAGAAGCAAGAGAGTGGTAGGTGGGAGGTAGGTGAGCGGTAGGTAAGATGTGGTAGGTGAACGGTACTACATTACAAAAGTGTCATTTTACCTTAGTTCAATAATTGGAGGTCAAAATAGCAATCTTCTTAGTCATATTTGTAGAACAAAAATCAAATTCAATTCTATTAATTGGAGGAAATTAGAAAAAAAATATAGTTTGATGATTAATGGTTTTAAGAAATTTTTAATGAATAACAAGCAGAATATTCACTAGAATCTATTTGGAGCTCTCTGAGCTGATGATCATAGCTGGCTAGAAATTCGGATCAAATGGCACGCCTGCTAGCGGTATCCACTCCGCCCCATTGATGAACGCACCCACTGTATACATGCTCGCCTCCGCTTCACTAATAGCGGGCCTGCAACCGGGCCAAGAAACCCGGCCAGAAATATCAGCCCCCGGGCCCGTGTTCTCAATCTCAGCAAAATTGATCGTATCAGGGGGAACGGAGCCTTCCCATGGCACCCAACCCGCCGGATCAACAACTGAACTCATCTCCGTCTTCATGACCACAACGGTGGAGTAATTTCTCCACGGTCGGCTCAAGTATGTTGGGCGGGTAACAACTTCGTAGGGCCTAATAATGCATTCGTGGATGGAGAAACCCGTGTTCTCAGCCGGCTGCTCTTTGCCTTGAGCTGTGATGGTGTTATACTGGAAAGGCAGTGGTTCGCGGGGCAAGATATTGCAGCGCTGGAAGACGGCGGCGGCGTCGCCGAAGATGAAGTCGATGGTGCCGATGATGTCGCAGTCACGGTAGAATTGCCGGTTGCTGTGGGCGTAAAGGGTGTCTTGATATGCGTCGAAGGAGCAGCGAAAGAAGATGGATCTGTCGGAGCTGGAGAAAGCTGCTACGGCTTGGAAGTGCTCTGGGCCGGCCGTGTTGCGGAAGCCCATGTCTATTGCAACGAAACCTTGTCCTGAGACAACTGGTTTTTAAAAAATATTAGTTGTCTGCAAAACATAGGATAGAATAAAAGCGAGTATTTAAAACGTCAAAATTTTATATAAATATTAGAATTTAAATAGTGGACATGTTGCTAATTAATGAATATTAACAGCTCACAAAGCGTTGCCGTCCAACTGGTGATGTAGCCTTCAGGATCAGTAGAGCTGCGGTTGCCTGTAATGATACTGCTGTACATTCCGTCGCCGATCATATAAACGTTCCATTTCGTTTCTTCCACCACCACATTCTCCTCGTAAATTCCCTCCTTCACGTATATGAAGGTGGGCCCTAAGCTCTCATCGACCACTAAGTTCACCGCCTCCTGTATGCTTCCCACGTGGCCGCTCCCATCCTTCGCCACGATCAAATTCGCCCCCAACTTAAACATCCTCTGCATCGTCGACGCCGATTCAGAAAATAGTCCCACGTCGCTTGTTTTCTGCCTTTGGCCCCCCATAATCCCAGCGGCGACCTCTAGGCTATTGCTCGTTTGACCCCTAGAGTTTACTATCGCTGCCTCCACCTTCTGGCGCAAGTCTCCCCTCGTCAACTCTAAGCCTTCCAGACACTCCTTCTGGTTGGCAATAGAAGCGCTGAGCCACGACATAATGTCGCTCATCTTGTTGTAAGTATTGTATGACTCGCCAGCAGAGTCTTTCAATTGGTAAATTGCATTGCTAAGTAGGTACTTGCAATTACTGATGGCCGCATGCAGTCTTCTGTCCTCGGTTGGAATCTGAAGGGTGTTTAATAAGATAGAGGCATTTAAGAGGGCGCTCGAGGTAGCGGTGAGGGAGAGATTCAAGAGCTCTTCCTCAAGAGCGCTTCCGATTCATTGCGAATGGGGCTGGATGACTTTGTGATAGCTGCTGAGACGAGGCCTATTGCGACGATAACAAGGATTATAGCGGCGGCGGCGGCGGCAGCTAAGTTGAGGATGATTCGCTTGTTTCGACATTGAAAAGCTAATTGGTTTTCCACGAAACCGTCCATGACTAGAATTTACATGTTACAAGAAGTGTATATTGTCATCTTATAAGAAAGAAAATTAGTGATTTTTGGATTGAGATGGAAAGAGTTCTGAATGATTCTTCGTCGCCAACTTTCCTTTCTCTTACGTAGAAGGTTAATAATGTGATGGGTTACATTAATTGCAAGAGATACAATATGGCAAGCGTCAGCTAGCTTCCTAATAATCTACTTGCAAGTCCGCTTCTAGCTTGATTGCATGACTTGGCAAATAAGGGCGCTTTAGTTATTATTTCAAAATAATATATGATGCTCATTATTTATCACAAATTTTTTCTTTGTTAATTTTCTTAAGGAACAAATCTTTTTTTAGTAATTATAAATACGACAAAAGAAAATCTTACCAGAAGTGAATAATTTAAAATCATGTCAAATATAACACACACAAAGCTGATTGATTCCTTGCCAAAAAATATTCTCAATTATAATTAATTAGTCTAAAGTTTCTATGTATGGATACATGACATATATATTTTTCTTGATATCATATTTGTTTTATTAAAATTAAGTGAGAGAGTTGCAAAATCATGTAGTTAATTTTATTTATTGTAGAGCATTATTAATTTATGAAGAAGCATCTTAAATTTTAATGATGTAAGAATTATTTTTAAGTTACTTATTAGGTTGGGGTATAAACAAGTCAAAACATGAGCGGGCTCAAAGCTTGTTAGTCAGGGGTAGAAACCAGTCAAATATGAGCGGGCTCAAAGCTTGTTCGTATTTGGCTCTTTGAAAATTTTTTATTGTCTCAAATAAACTCTGTTTGAAATAATTTGAAAATCATTTTGTCTGGGTTCAACTCGATTAAATTTAAGGGTTATTTGCATACATAGCACCTAAAATATTTTTATTTACAAATCTAATATTCTCCTTCATCCATTTTTCAAATTCTCGCTCAAATATCAAAATTGATGACAAAAATCCAAGGGTTTAAAAATATTTCCTAAATGCTAAAAGGACATGGATTCGATAGTTTAAAATATTACATAAAAGTTAATTTTTTTTCAAAATAGGACCTAGATGCTAAATTTTATAAATATAGAACAACTTGCAGACCGCCAAAGAATTTATTTGGAAAAATAAATGCATTACGTATTGGGCTGTCTAAATCGGTTGTTGTTCGGTGAATATTTTATGTTTAGCTCGTTAAGAAGCTCATGTTCGATTCGTTCGCTAAGTTAACTAGCCGAACAAAAACAATGATTTGTTGTTTTGTGTTCAGCTCGAAATACTACTCATCAATTATATATATTTAGTACTTTTAAAAAATTTATATGACTACAAGGCTATAAAGATTTATAATTAATTAAAATTTTTAATTAAAAAATTGAATAAAAATATATTAAAATATATTTAAATTATGTTTTAATTTAAATAATAAGATTTACATTTTTGTCCCGACTCTTAACATCCTACATCTGTGTAACAAAGGTTCTCAAAACAATTTTTCATTCATGAACATCTCGTGTTCGACTCTCTTAAGTTGACCAGCCTAACAGGAACATAGTTTTTGTGTTAGAAATATTAACGAGCCGAATATGAACCGTGATATTTTTTCTTAAAGAGCAGAACACGAGCTAAACTTTGGCTCGTTTACACCCCTAATTACGTACATACCACTAACTCGATGTATTTACATATGTAATTCCTAAATAAAAAATGAGATTCCAAATGTGAGAGTTTATACAGGGCATACCAAAAAAATCTTAGTTATTTACATATCTTACAAATATAACATTCAGCATTAGTAAATTTAGACAATCAATAAGATTCTGTTTTGCGAACTAAGAATTTTTAAGAAATTATAGCAAAATTTCAGGCGTGTAGCATTTGACCAAGTTGCAAGATTTCAGTTAATTTTATATAATAAACAAAAACCAAACTTTTTGTAGCAATTGTGATGCAATTTATTATGTTCATAGAGATATGTTGTCAAACTATTGGTTGCTAATGCAAAAATTACTTTCATCTTCTCCAACAAATTGGAAAAGTTGACTACCACAATTTCAATTCTATAGCGTACTTACTACATTAGTTAGGCCATGCCTTAGAGCATTTTCCCTTTCTATCCTATAGACTTTTCTTTTTTCTCTTTCGAGTATTTGATCTTCATGAAAAAGCTAAAGCATAAACTCATCACTTCTAATTATCTAGCACTCAACAATATTCATAACAATCTGATTAGTAGTTTGAGTAACAATCAAATTATTAAATTTACATCAAAATTCGAGTTAAATTTAGCTTGAGATTGGCTAGATTTAAAATTGATTTGAGTCAATCTTGAGGTCTCTTGAGACTCGAAACTAATTTCAGAATCATAGAAATTGGTTAAATTAATTTCTAGTCAATTTAAACTTATATGAATCAATGAACAAAACAATATTATAAACATTTGTGCAAATTAGCGCAGCATTCGTAGCATGAGGATATTCCCGTGCTAAACTTGATTTGTGTCGGATTTGAGGTCTACGTAAAAACTGGGATCAGTGATGCAATAAGCGTCAAAATTGTCCGACACAAGCAGCTTGTGTCGAATTTAGTGTTTGTTTGTATCGGCGTTAATGGAATTCGATGAGATCCACTATGATACAATATTTAATTTTAGCATTTACGTCGAGCAATGGCGAAAGCAAATTAGTGATGTTATTTGCGTCAACTTAGTGTGTTGGAGATGTTAGATTAGTGATGTAGCGAATAGCGTCAAAAAAATATAGTGATTAGTGTCAGAATTTTTTATGCAAGTTCAACACAAATTTGTAACAAATTTAAAAAAATTATATAAAAGATCGATGATCAAAATTTCACTATATAATTTGATAAATATTCGTATGCCTCTTCCTCTAAGACAAACACCAGAATTATACGTCTTCTTCCTTTCACACTGAGATCTCGTGTGAAATCTATAATCATTCACATCAAATATTTGTCATGAGTGACTCTGTGATTAGATCCCCAAGTAAGATCTAATAAGCTCTGATATGTAATTGTGTTGCTTATATTATGAATCTATAAGAAGTTTCAAAGTATAATTAGTGTCACTTTGAATGTAAAAATTATATTACATACTCATGAATTGAAGAGTTACTTTAAAGTACGTATAATTTATTAGAGAGTTATTCCGTTATGCTCACGTCATTGTTATTTGTATGCTAGAGTTAATTAGTATAACAATCTGAATAATAACAAAGAGATTTGTTTATTACTCTATTAATGGTTGTACTACGTTGTAGTTCAATAGAAACTATACTATAACTGCTCGAAGCTCTTTATCATTGAGGTTGCATGTATCATATCACCCTGATGATTCTTCTAATATATGAAATATAAATATTTTTTTATTGTGAAGTCATGTCACAAACAGTTTTATGTATTTATTTTTCTTGCTCAAAATAACAGAAAAAGAAAGTAATTATCTCTTGTAGCAAGTATGCCTCGCATATCAAGCCCTTCATATGTGTTCTTTTTAATAATGTTTTTATTTTATTTAAAAATTTATAAGATGGATATATTTTTGAATAAATAAAGTAATAGATTAGTCTAAGGCAAAATGCAAGGTGTGATGGTACACATTAAAAAGACATATTTCTTAAAGGGATACATCCATTTATACTGCATTGGACCCCCAATATATCATCATAGCATATATGTATGGGCATATGCTTCATAGAATCAAAGAAATGAGAATAAAACATTCGTGAGCTTATATAATAATAATAAAATACTCACATCAAGATTTATCAATGAATCAACATTCAAAGTCCTTAGATACAACTCCCTGAACAATGTCTTGTTTTAATCAATTGATCAAGTAACTACTTTGGTAGGGCATTGAATGCAGTTAGTAGTAAGCACTGCAAAAAAAATATGACAGTTATGACTCTTTATATCGATTATATTCCTCGTTCCCAAGTTAACACAACAGCTCAAATTTGATACGCATCCACAAAAAAACTTCAGAGAATGCATCCATTAAAATATTATTTTTTGCTGATCTAATGTGATACTGTACGTAGCTTTGGGCTTTATTAATTTACCAACATTTATCTCATGAAGTTCTAACTCCTTCCTCTTGTAATTCTCCTTCAAATTCAATCTTGCTTTAACATTTCCTTTGATTTACGCTTAAAATTCATCATGATATTGAAAATATTATCAAAGAAAATTTCTCAATATGCATAACATCAGATTATGTCTAATAACATTAGTCCTCAAGTATCGAAGATACCATAAAATATTCTACTTCGTTCAGTTATATGCAGCTCCAAAATCATGAAGCCGATTTAAAGCTAGTTTTGGTCTCTCGGTGATTTTTAATATTTCACCAGTCTTCTATAATAAATAGACCCCAATCATCCTCGGGATTAGATTTGATTTTTCAGTTCTATTTTTGAAAAATGCATCTTTATTCCTTCTGAATGCTTGATCATGGTTTAAAAACCTTCAATGAAAATCAAACCAAGAATTTTTTTCGTCCATGCTTTAGAGTGATAGCATTAGACATATCCATGCTGTAAAGACAAGCTAATTTTTCGTGTTCCAACCATATATCATCTCATAAGCCAAAAAAGCACTAATTGTCCACATGAGTAGTTTTCAGCTAGAAATAATATTTATTAGTGACATCATAAGTTAGCACGCCTATTTTTCATAATATTTGAAGCACATCTATTAGATGATGTAGGTAGACATCAATTTTATTTTTTGAACTATGTGAACCTGGTATGGTCAATGTTAGAATAAGAATAATGTGACCATGCATATATTAGGGGGCAAATTATATGGCTAATAATCACTGACAACATTATCAAGGTGTTGTGGTATGAAAGTATATTGTCATCTGTACATAAGCCAAGTCGAATATTGTGTGGTTCAACTACAAAATTAGGATAACTATGATCAAAGTGTCTCTCGGCTTCACCATGTGATAGATGACTCATAACATTAGTATCAACAAATCTAATACTATCTCATATCATGTAAGGAGTTGTACACATATAAGTGAATAGTCTTTGAAGCTAGGGTATGAAAGATGTAGAAGTGATGCTCATATAGAATATTTTTTTCTAATTTTTACCCTTTTGCCCTCTTGGTTTTAATTTACCAGCACCACAAAATCCGTAGTTCATCTCAATTGCATCAATCTTGTAATATAACATGCATAAATAAACACAATAATTTATCTTCTCAATAGTAAATCTAACTTTGATATAAACTTTTTCGTTCAGCACAAGTTATTCAGAACTAATTTTTATTGTGGGATTTGACTCCTTTAATAATACTACTAATTGATTGAAACATTTTATGGTCATCTTAAGAATAAATTTGATGCTTAACATTCTCAGTGTCATCGATAACTTTATATGTATAGTGTTGTCTTACCACAAAGATTGTTGTGCAGCATTCAACAAATCATAGAATTTGTGGGCTTCAATCTTTGGTGCTTGATCATCATCAGGAACACTCTCAACAAAATGAACCATGCGTGCATCAAGAATTATTTCAAGGTATGTGTTCGGATTGTGTTTTATTGGAAGGGCATAACTTGCTGAGACATCAACTTGATCGTATTGAATATGTGGTTCATACTCACCATGTGAAATTCAATAATTATGTTTAAATCCATTATCGTACAGATCAAACTTGACTTCTTTAGGTGTTAAATACACTTGATTTTTATGCTTCACACAATAACATTGAAACTTACCTTCTGCAAGGTAAATGGATAGATGTGATGTTGTCTGCATAAATTTCTCAGGATCATTCAAGAACTCATTAGAGAGTCTTTTTCTTCCTGGTTGCAATCTGTTCTACATCCATGAGATCAAACTTTGAATGTCAATCTGCCACATATATGTAGCTTTATAGATTAGTACATTTAGATAACAATCGTACGTACATTTCGTGTATTTGTATTACATATTTAACACACAAACATTAATCTTTACATACAAAAACCACACAATTCTTATGCATTATATATCTAACACCTAAACTTCAAATTTTACATACAAACCTCACAATTCTTATGCATTACATTTTTAATGATCAAACTCTAATGTTTACATCTAGTCACACAATACTTATACAATAATACATGTAATTAGTTTTCTGATCTCATTTTTTTTAGTTGGTGGATTTTAATTTATTTTCAAAATTTGATATTTAATTCGTGATTTGTGTTGATTGCTACTTTATCGGCCATGGTGAAAATCAAAGTTCTTGTAGGTTCAAAAGTTTTGCAAATAGTTTTTTGGGTTGTTATACTCCATTCAGTTTTGTCCTTAGGTTCAGTTCTTGAATGACATTTGCAAACTTATATAATTCAAATTTTTCTAATGTCTTTGATGGTTTAGAGAAATTAAGTTCCTGTAAATTTTAAAAAGTTTTGGAAATTTTTAAGTTATTATATTGGTTTAGGCATCTTGACATCTGAGATTAAAAATCTTAGTCATTTTCGATATCTTGGTTATCTTAGGTCATTTAGTTTAAGTATTTTACTTATCTCAAGTTATTAAGTTTAAGAGTTTTAGTTCTCTTAAGTTATCAATTTTAAGTGAATTATTTGTTTTAACTTAAATGTCTTATTTATTTTAGGATATTTAGTTAGGTGGTTTCATGTTATCTTTAGTCATTTAGTTTGAGTTTTAAAGTTATTTTATTTTATTTTATTTAAGTGTTAAAGTTATCATATTTAATTTAATTCAAGTGTTGATATTTCACTGTTTCACTTCATTTAAGTTTTTTTGGTTTAGTTATTTAAGTTATTTAAGTGTTTTAGTTAAAACATGTAGTTTAGAATGTTTAATTTAAAACGTTTGATTCAAGTGGTTTAAGATGTTTAAGATGTGTTTTGAATTATTTTAAGTTTATCTTAAAATAACTTTTAAATTATCTTTATGTTATTTTAAAATAAGTTTTTTTAAATTACTTTTAAAAAGTTTAAAATTGGGTTTTTAAAGTTACCTTAAGTTAATTTATGAGAGTTTTAAAATTATATTTGACCTGTTTTAAGTTAATTTTTTTTAATTTAAGTTAGCTTCAGATTACTTAAAAGATATTGCATTAAACAGGTTTGCAAATGACATTTTTGATTAAAATATCCATGAGAAAAACCTATATATGAGAGGTTCACTTTCACCTTGTTATTTAATTTTTCTTTTTTTTTTTTGCATGTACTTGACATATGAAAAAAATTATACATAAAACATAGATTAAATTAAAATACACATGAAACATGCTTTAAACTAAACTACACATGAAATATATATTGAACTAGACTATACATGAAGCATGAATTAAAATAAACTGCACATGGAACATGATATATACATATTACACATATTACACATGAATTATTATGTTAGGCTTAGGCTTGGGTTAGAGGAGAGCAATGGTTAGGATAAGGTTGGCTAGGATCAGCTTGAGTTAGCTAAGGTCATCTGAGGCTAGCTAAGGTCAGTTCAAGTCATCTAGGATTTGCTCAAGGTCAGCTAAGGTCAGCTATCACCAGCCTGGTTTGGGCTAGAGTAGGCTAACATCAACTAGGGCCAGCTAGGGTTGGGCTAAGGTAGACTAGGTTGGGTTAGGTTGGGCCGGGTTGGGTTAGGTAGGGTTAGGCTTGGTTGGGTTCGGGCCAGGTTGGGTTCGGGCTAAGTTAGCTTCAGACATAGTTGAGTTTTGGTTGGATTGGGTTCGGGTCAACCTAAGTCTAACCCAAATTCGAATTCTATTTAATTAATTAAAACATATAAAATAAAAATAAATAAAAGAAATAAAAGATAGAGGAGGAAGAAGACTTTTTTAGATTGATGAGCACACCACTGAGAGCACCACAAGAAGAAGACATTCATCGAGTAACCACCAGAGAGGAGGAGGGAGAGGGAGGAAGTTGACAGAAAGAACAAGCGGAAGAGCCGGTGACAGAAACGATGGGCTCCCACAATAGACCTTGATGACATTCGACTGATCAACATTCATATATTCCATTGGTGGTTGGAGCTATCACAGATCGCTGATGGTGAATCAGCTCAATGATCGATTCTCGGGCTCGAGTGGGAAGTCCAATGGCATGGTCACACCACCCACGCCATTGGGTGCCATGGCTACGCCCAATTACAGGTTGTGATGCTAGGGTGCTATTCGAGCCCTTGGCGGCGTAGCCACACCTACACCACCGAAGGTGAGAATTTGAGGATTTTAAGCTCGTTTCGACCATAAGAACCTTGCTGGCAGTGAACATCTTCTAACGAGAGGACGGGTGATTGGTTTTGGTCATAAAGTGGTGTCCAAATTGAGGAAAATTGGGTCAAAGTATGGCCCCACCTCACGAAAGTTGAGGTCTTCGATGAGAGCTCCTATGAAGTTCAAATCGGTCAATTTTAATGTTTGCAGCTCAACTTGCTTACATTTCGAGTATGGAATTGATTTGAGTTCGTTCCAAAGGACAATTCATAATTATCATTCAAATTATCGTAGGATAAATGAGTCTCATAACAGGGTCAAATTTAGGCGCAGAAGTGCTTCGAAGAAGCCTATTTCTCGAATGATATTTATATATTACCCGAACAAACATCATGAATATCAAAAAAAAAAAAAAAAAAAAAAAAAAAAATCTAACACTACCCCTAAAACCTTAGAAGTTCGATTAAATCATAAACTGAATTTTGACCTTAAAATAAAAAACAACAAGTTTCCTTTGCAACAAATAACAAGCACAATCTCACCACCAAATCAGCAAGCGAAAAGCAATCAATTATGACACCGCTAAAACATGTATTCAATCACATGGCCTTAACCTCAAACAGCCTTCCAAAGAGCCCCAACCAAGACAAAAACACGTACAATAATTCCTCTACCTATTTCTCTGTAGAAAAATTTTCCACGGCTTTTGCAGACTAGCAGTATCTCAAGGCTAAGCTGATGCACTAACTGCTGCTTTATCAAATGCTGCCTGGCAAATTCTAATCGACAAACCAAATCGACTTACATTTTCCAAAAAAAGACACTAATGACACTGGGCATTCCCATAAATGAGCCAAGAGCGTCACAAGTTAAAACAGTTAAGGTTGCTTGCAAACTCCTAGCACTGTCTACCAACAGTCCATTTGCTTTATCTATACTTTCTTCCACAGACTTATTTACCGTTACCTATCCAATTACAAATGTCCAAATCTTAGCTCCTAATCATGAAGCTTGGAGACAAAAATTTGGAACATGAAATTGAGGTCCCAAATAGTACTGGCACAAAAAAACAATACTGACCAGAACTTGTTTCATCCACTTAGGATTACCTCCAAGCTCTTAAGACCAGACAGGCAATCCAAAATTATGGAAGGATCTGATGAATCCATCTGAGCTAGCCGTTACAATTCTCATGCTACACATAGCTGCCAGAGATGTCAGCTGCTTATAATGATGAGTCAATTCTCTATGAAACTTGCCCAGTTGGGTATCATCTAGCTGCAACGAAAAGGCACCCGATGATACTGGAAGTTTCTCCGCTGGTCCGACTCGAGAAACGCTATCGGCAAACAGCCAACACCCAAGAAAAAAGCATTCTGAATTCGAGAACCAGGCGGAAGGCCCCAAGATTTTTATAGGAGATGGAAGATGAAGTCTTTCGGTTGTTGGACCTGCTGTTTTGTGATCCATGTCAGGCCATGGAACTGCAACGGATACTCCTTTAGAAAAGAAGGATTCAGAAGACCGTATAGATTTTGTCCTTCGAGGGGTTGGCTTCCTTGAAGAATCATAGTTCCAGATGTACACGTTGGAGTCTTCTCCAACAGAGATAATGTGCCGGCCATCGGAAGTGAATGAAGCGGAAGCATGGCTTCTGGTCCTTCGAAGGCCTGCAAGATAACGCAAAATACAAAAAGCGTATAGATTAATTTTATGGTAGCATCTCCATCTTGCCAAACTCAAGAGATAATGAAGGAGCACGTCGACACGCATTGGTGTTATGTAGGTAAAGCTTTCTATAAGAAAAACGCAGCTAAAAGAAGTAGAATCCAGTAACAATACATTAAATAAATAAAAATATGCAATAATGAAACATGGGGTTGGGTCTTGGGATCGCCTGCAATTATCATGCTGCCATATCAGCTGTCCAATTCACTTTGGACGGCTAAGATTGAATCACTGAAATCAAAATCCAATCTGATTTATTTGAGGGAAATTTACATACTTACCACGTAATTTTCATGTATTTACATATCTCAAAGAACTTTGATATTTACACACATAGGACTTTGATGTTTTATATTTACATATGAAAATGTGTATTTTTTTACTTTTAAAAAGTGTATATATGAAAATGTGTATTTTTTTACTTTTAAAAAGTGATATTAGTGATATTTTTGATGTTATATTAAGGAATTGAGTACTCCACGTATGAATATGAAAGCTTGTGTGAGATAATCAATACATAAGAATAGTGTGATATGTAAATGCCCCAATTTTTTAAATGAATACAATCCTAGCATCTAAAGCGGGTCAACCAATTAAAAAAAATTAAAAATAAAAAGCTTTTCATTCCTCATGAGAGGTCAACTATTTAATAATGCCAACAAATAATATGATATAGCTACACATTACACTTTTTAAATTTATTGATAAATACGTGCAGATCATCTGAAACATTAATATCTACAAATTAATCACCATTATGATTTTTTTGACCTACCAAATTGGTATTGAGAATTTAATAACAATGAAAAATATGAGTTGAGGTTTTACCATGAGTTTTGATATTTTTGAGTGAGAGTTTGAAAAATAAATGAGAGAGGATCTTTAATTTGTAAATAACGAATTTTGGATGGTATCTATATAATTATCCCAATTTAGAGAAAATAACAATAATAATTAGGGTTGTCAAAAAATCTCGGTATTCGCGAACAGCTCGTGTTCGGCTCGTTAAGTAGCTTTTGATCGGCTCGTTCGTTGTATACGAGTCAAACACGAACAGCTCTTTGTTCGCTCATGTTTGGCTCCTTTTAGCTCGAAATAAAAAAAAAATTATATAAATTTTTATATAACAATATATTACGTATATTATTTATATAATAATATATTATATATGTTTATGTCTAAGTTTAAATCATAATACCTCATGTGACAATGTGGTTAGTCATTTCTTTTGTATATATTTTTCAGGTTCGAATCCCACAGTTTACATCTATTTTTCTCAATTTAAGTTTAATGAGCCAATTTCGAGCCGAACACGAGCCGAACACGAATACAAATATTTAAATCAAGCCGAACACGAACACACTGTTCACTAGCCGATTTCGCACACGAGCCGATTTCAAACACGAGCTATGTCGAATGAGTCAAACATGAGCCAAACCTGAGCTCGCTTGTTTATGACCCTAATAATAATAACTTATTTTTAAAAGCGTTCTAGAGATAGATGCAGACCCGTATTTCGAAAAAGACACGCCAACCCAAAGCCCGTGCAAAACTCCGTCCCCGTAGCCCGCACCCGCACCCGCACCCGCACCCGCTTTCCATTTTCTGCTGCTCTGGGGCAGTGTTCCTCTAGGTCTGGCTCCCGTTTCCATACCCTGGTTCTCTCTCCAGCGCTCTCGTCTCCGTTCCGCTCCGACAGAAATCCCGGCAATCTTCACGGGAGGTGGCGGAGAATCATCTTCGATCCCAACTATGTGAGAAGGAGAAGATAACGCGGCTGGAGCTTACCGGGGAAGCCATCGACGGGACAAGCAGAGCCTTGAAGCTCCCTGGAGAAGTTAATCGACCAGTCTAGCGCCGTGAGGAGGTGCAGGAATCTCGATTGGAGCTTGATGAAGAGGGATTTAGCAAGAGCGTGCGAAGAAAGTGCCATTCCCACTTGGATTTGAGGTAAAATAGAAGAGAAACGGGATTTAGGTTTCCGTAGTTTTAAATTCGTAAATTCGTAAAATCGTAAATCCACCTAACCATGGATTCAGTAAATAATATATAAAATTAAAATAAAAAATAATATTTATAACTACTTAAATTAAATATAAGAATAAAATTGAACACCATACTGAATCACACATAACTTGAAAGCTCACCTTTAGGCACATAAAAATTTTGAAAACTTTTCAATCCTCAAGATTATTCTTTAATGAACTAAAATGGGAAAAGAACGATCCTCTGTATGGCTTGCTTGAACAAAAATAAGATCAAATATAAATTACTAGCCAAATCCCCAAACCGGTATACACAGGTTGATAGAATGCTGCATTATGAGCTCAAAATACACAATTGATGTCTATGCATTCAGATGCATGACTAGTAATTTATATTTAATCTTCCAAACAAATTCAATATTATGTAGAATACATATTTGATACTATACAAACAAGCCTGCAGGTAGAAAAAGTATAAAATAATAAACTAAAATTAGTCAAATACTCGTTGACAAAAAATCTCAATTGGATTGGGTTTTTATTTTCAAAATTCTCCCAACTTTTAAAGATAAACAATTTTCAAGAAAAAAACTTATTTTGAAAATATTCATATATAAAATTTATTATTAAAAGTAAAGAGCAAAATTCATCCACTCTCTGCTCTTATTTGTCACCTTAAATTGTCAATTATAAGGTACATTTGATAGAACATAAATGTATCTATTGGTTAAAGTATGTAAACTTGTCACCTTAGACAAACATATACTCGAGGTATATAAGATTCTCTTGAACAAAATAATGTATTGTTGTCAACAAGGATCCTTTGGTCGAGTTGGGTCGGCAAACTTCTCAAAGTATATCAGTGATTATGACAACCCAAAATCAGGATTTTGATAGAATTTGTCATCGAGAGAAATTATTAATCATTAGGATTTGTGGCTATAAGAAATATTGAACCGTTCTTAAATTCCTCACAAAAATAAGGGTAAAATCTTCCGTTAGTATCTTATCTGCAATATATTGTCTTTTAGAAGTTTACCTGAAAACTTTATATAAAACTATATATAGAGTGGCCATGGTGTAATTTTTGTAGCCCGAAAATATACGTATCATGATGTTGCATTTTGCTTGGTTGAATCTAACACTGCCAAATCATACTAGCATTCAAGTTAGTTTATGGTTGCCTGGATGATTCATTTCCAATCCATGTCTAGTCAAATTTTTGGTCGGCGACAAAATTTTGAACTACGTGTTGAAACTATTCACAACATACTAATGTTTCAATTTGCCAAGTTGTTTCTTATGTACGCCTGAATTGAACAATGGCTCCAAGTGTGAACCTATTTGGAGTTCCCTGGATCTACTCCCCCCAACATCGTTTTTTTTTTCAAAAGCATATCCTCCCATTAAATAGGACGGAATGGAGAAAAAGGATTCATGTAGCCGACCCCACGTAGTGGGATTATGGCTTTGTTGTTGTTGTTTTTGCATATTCTCCCGTCTTTGGGCATGCACAACAAGCTTGTGATCATATGTTGTTATGTCTCCCATTACTCTTATTATCACTTCTTTTTTATTGTCTTCCATTTTATCGATTTTTCTATTCCATTACTTAGAAATTTCTACTCCACTCCATAGTGTCGAGGCACCGCTACTCATTAGAGGAAAAGGTTTTTCTTCTGGAGACAGATGATCATGTAGAGACAATGATGACAAGCGTAATACTAATAGTAGTTTAGGCTTGAGATGAGCAAGAATGGATTTTATCTAATAACAACCAATATTATAAGACTGAAAATTAAATTAGATAATCATTCATTTTAGTAGTTAGGTCTAAAGATTGATGTAATATAACAAATTTTGTGTCACTTTTGGTCATATGGAATCGAAACTAGACCGATTGCATACCAATTAGGAAGTGTTTGATGTATTAAAGTAATTATGTGTGTGGCTGCTTTCTTCACAATTTACACCGGAACTTCCCCCTATATTATTTATTCATTTGTATAATTATTTGGTAAGGTAAAGTAATTTTTTCAAACTTCTGAACTTAATTATGTTGCAAGGGGCCTGGTACCATTGATGTATCCATTCACCTACACTGCAGAATCATCTTTGGAAGCAATGTGACAAAACCAGATAAATGTGTATTTTACGTAGTTGACCAGAAGGTAGTTAAAAAGTTTCACGACTAGCATTCAAATAGTACAGGAAAAAAATGAAGAAATAAAGAAAACCCAACCTTAGTACTGCAAAAATTACAAATTCAATTACTGTTAATAGGCCACGATAAATTTTCCATTTTAGTTGATAGCACCAATGGTCTTGCAAACATTAGATTTCTAAACATTAGATTTCTATAACTATCATTGAAATTTTGCTTATAAAATTAACATCCAAGCATTTAAATAAATTAAAAACTCATATATAATGTGTGATGCAAGGAAGTCATTAAGCATTTGACAAATTACTGTGAATGAAAGTTTGTAGCTTTCTGCGCTCTTCAAAATTTGTGCGGTATTATTATAAATAGAAACAATTGCATAATATTTTTGGTCAATATACAAGATTCAGGTGTAACGACAAAAACAACTTGTTAATATTAAATGAAATCGCATTATTACCTCTGAATTTGTGAGCAACGCCAAATCCATCAAAAATTCGAACTCTGGAGTCTGCTGATGTGATCATAATCTGTTCCGTATCGTCGGGTGAGTACTGCAGGAAAAATAATTAGCGGATATAGCAGACAACCACAATCTGGCAAGTTTGATAAAGCAAAGGACACAAAGCTTCCTATCTTTCTCACCTGTAACCCTGTAACTCGTTTTCCAGCAGATTTCTGTTTACCTTCAATAGGAAATTGCATGTACAAGTGCATGCTATTACCTGCCCGCATGAAAATACATAAATAAACAAATTAAATGCTAGCCATACAAAGTAAATGAGCAGAAACTAAACTGCAACACAATTCATTATCTTATTGGTTTTGATAAAATATATCTGATTTATATTAAAACGCTGCCCATATGCTAATTATATGAATTGATGTAATTAATTGAAATGAAAAGGTTTATTTGTAAAAATCCATTCATTAGTACCTCTCTCTCTCTCTCTCTCTCTCTCTCTCTCTCTCTCTCTCTATCTTTTGTCTAATATCACTCTATACCTTAGGCATGTCTCCCGAACAGATTCAGAATGAACAATAACCTTAATTAAAATAAATGCCTATCTCACTTAACCTTTAAAATAAATAAATTTCTGTTCTTTTCATTGTTGGATTTGCATTTGGAAAGCAAAAGGAGAGAGGCTTAGATTCTCGTTTGGGAAAAATTGGGAGGGGCTTCAAGTTTTTTACATAGAGTTTTCATCGATATTGATCATTTATAAATTTTAGCATACCTTGGTATGAGTTATCTGGACGGTTGCTTATTTCTTCCCTTAATTTTCTATTGTTTTGTTCTTAAGCCATTTGTGCTAAAAGAAATGTATAATCTCCAAATAGAGAATAAGATTCACGTGGCATATGCTAATAAGTGGCATTTTGGATTCATAGTATTTAGCGTGTGTTTGGGGCGGTGGTGTGATGATAGTGTTGTGCCGCACCACAGTTTTTTCTATTTGGCAAAATTATATTTTGTCAACTTTTTCAAAAAACCGCAACTGAAAGTTGTGTTTTGCCATCAAATCTAACTAAGTGTGGTGGCTACTAGAAAGACACGATTTGACTTTTTTTTAGAAAATAAAAATTTTGTAATGGTCACCGTAGCTTTTTAAACAACTTTTTTTGTCATAACTTCACAGCTATTTCTTCAAACAACTGCAACTTTCTCAAAAAGAGACTCATAATCCTTTCTTTCTTGTTGAGTGTAGGGTTAATCGATTTATATTTTCTTCAAGAAATTTGAAATCGATTGTTGAATCACATGCATCTTTCTTTTATACGCTTAATAAAAGAATTGAAATGAGGTTATCTCGTGGACATAGAGTTCAACTAAACTCAAACCACTTTATATAGTTTTATTCATATTTCTTTTCTAATATTTTTCGACTATTCATGTGAAGGTTATTCTGGTTGCTATTTTGGTGTTACATTGCTTCAAGTACAATTTATTGTTGAATCATAAGGGGTTTATTTTCATATTTCAAATAAGTAAATCTTGTTTCTTTGATATCTATTACTACCTTTATTGCTTGTTTCCTAACAGGCTTCAATATCCCCCTGTCGTCCTTGTCAATTTAGAAAATATAAGTCTCACATTTAGCAATCTGATGTCATAAAAGAACTCAATAAAGAAAACTAAAGAAAAGCAGAAAAAAGAATGAAGAAAGACCGTAAAACCTCGTGAGTAATCATAAAAACGGCAATTTCCATTGATCGAGCCGACAACAAAACCCTGTTTCGAAAAAGAAAGAACAGTTAACATAGAAACAAATTTGCAAATAAAATACTTTTTTTTTGTAATATTACTAGTTAGAATGCAACCTTTCCGTCTGGCCGATAGCACACAGCAGTCACAATATCACGTATGCCAACCCAATCAAACACATGATTCTCCAAAACACTCCAAATGCGAACTTTGCCATCTATGGAACCACTAATGAAGTATCTTTCATCAACGGGATTGAATTGAATACAAGTTACTGCGTGTCATTCAAAATAAAGAAGAAAAATGAGAGATATTAATTTGGCTCAAGTAAATAAAAATGGACAATTAAATGTTAAGACATTTCTCATCTTGGATAAAAAAGGATAATTAGAGTATTGAAGGTTCCTTTGCAACAAAGAACAAAGTTAAATAGAATATGAAAACCAAAGAACTTAAAAAAATTGAAGTCAAGAGATGTTGAGATTTGCATCTAATTTCGGGTCCTATTTGTAAATAGAAGTATAGAGATTTATTTGTAAATGTTGCAAGGCTCTATATAAGCAAAAGCCACTAATGAAATGGGTAAGTTTTCAAGAGCAATTAATTCTTTATGGTATCAGAGCCTAATCATAGCAGCCAGGAGCTTGGTGCTGCTCAATTGTGAGGATCAGATCAACTCAATCGGTACAGATTTTGGCGACTAGAGTTCACTATTAAGGCAACGAAGGGATCACAGCTCGCTGGGAAGGCAACCAACGGATCGTGGCGTGAACCCTCTGACGATCCAGTCATGATTAGAGCTCTTTGGGAAGAACCAAACGGACAGAAGTCTAGATCTCGTTGGATGTAATAGCCGACTTCTTAGTGTATCGAGCAAGGCATAAGGACTCGTGTGCAATGTTCTCGAAGATATCTTTGATGAACGAATTCATGATACTCATTGCCTTGCTTGAGATATGGATATCAGGGTGCACTTGCTTCAACAACTAGTCTAACTGAGAAGGCAACGACGAGACTGCTGTGTACGAAACGATGTGAAATTGCTGCTCAACATTTAGGAAGGCAGCGGAGCAAGGCTTTATTTGTAGATTTCCCCTCGACAAAATGGAGGCAAAGGATAGAAGCGGTTGGGGTGCAGCTTCATTCGGGCTAAGGCAAAGCAGATCCAACAAACTTGCAGGAAGGAAGTCGCATGGAACCTTTAATACTCTAAGGACGACTTCTAGTAATAATGCGGGTCATCCACTTGATCGTTATTCTCCCGATCGTTTTAGATCCTCACGTGAAATTGTCTATTTTATCTCATACACTAACATATCACCTTTATATAGAACATTAATTGTATCATTGGACATTGTCTCTATACCCAATTGTTGGTGGGTAGTTAAGGACAATTCAAAGTGGAAGGTAGTAGAGGAACTTGGTGCTCTCGATAAGAACAGGATATGACAACTCGTGTTGCTACTAACAGGGAAAATGCAGTTGGGTGCAAATGGGTCTTTACAGTGAAGTAGATATCAGAAAGAAAGATTAATTACTACAAAGTATGATTGGTGGTGAAAAGGTATAGTCAGACGAATGATATCGACTGTGATAAGACATTTACACCAATGACAAAGATGAGCACCATCAAGACACTCGTCTCTCTGGTTTTGAATGGCTGATGAAGGTTATAACAAATGGATGTGAAGAATGTGTTCCTTCATGTGGATCTGCTAGACGAGGCTTTGACACGAACCAAATAGTGGGCAGTGTGTGTAGATTAAGAAAGTCACTATATAGTTTGAAATAGCTTCCTCGAGCTTATTTTTGATAGATTCAGGAAAGCAATAGCAGACATGGGATATCAACAGATTAATGCCGATCATACAATGTTCTTTTAACGACATGATGATCACATTATTATTCTTGTTGTGTATGTGAATGACATTGTCACTGGAGATGATAAAGGAGATATTGGTCAGTTGAAGACAAGTTTGGGCAAAAAGTTTGAGGTGAAGGACCTGAAACAACTTAGATAATTCCTCGGAATTGAGGTGGCTCGTGGAGCAGAGGAGATTGTTTTGTCTTAGAGAAAATATATGCTACACTTGCTCACAGAGACAGATATGTTGGGATGCATGTCTGCAGTTTTAACAAATAATTAGAAGGAAAAGTTGAGCTCAAAGACAACAAAGCCAGTTGATCGCGAAAGATACCAGAGTCACTCGTACAGACATATCATTTGCAGTAAGTGTGGTGAATCACTATATGTATGATCCGAGAAATGATCACATGTATGCCATATATTAGATTATTAGGTATCTGAAGAGTGCACAAGAAAAGTAGTTGATTTTCAGGAAGAATGGATATGTAAGCATTGAGTACTATTGTAACTCATACTGGACGAGTTGTATGGATGACAGGGGGTCCACATATGGATATTGCATGTTAATAGCGGGCAAACTTGGTTTCTTTAAAGAGCAAGAAATAATTAGTAGTAGCAAGGTCAACAACAAAGGCAGAGTGTAAGGCCATGGCCATAGGAGTTGCTGAGATGATGCAGCTAAAAGTTTTGTTGGTAAAGCTCAAGGTGGACCAAGGAGCTCAAATGAAGTTGTGGTGCAACAACAAGTCAGCGATCAACATCACCAAGAACCCGATGCAACATGATAGAACCAAACATGTGGAGATTGATAGGTTCTTCATTAAGGAAAAGCTGAATAACGGACTACTAGAGTTAAGCCATGTAACCACTGGATAGCAAGTAGCTGATTGCCTCAATAAAAGACTTAGCCCATTAAATTTGGCTAGGTTATGTGATAAGATGGGCTTAGTAGATATCTTTTGCCCAGTTTGAGAGGTATTGTTGAGATTTGTATTTAATGTTGGGTTCTATTTGTAAATAGAAGAAGTTTAGAGATTAATTTATAAATGTTGTAAGGCTCTATATAAGCCCAAGCCATTAATGAAATGGGTTAGTTTTCAATAGCAATTAATTCTTTAAGAGAATCCAAGAAGACCAGAGCATTCAAGCAAGCTGAATATCCTTATAAAGGAATCAATTTCACCTTCATGTTTAAGCATACAGGTTTTCAGACCATTTTTAGCGAGTGTTAGTTTTCAAGAACAATTAATTCGTTTAGAGAATCCAAGAAGACAAGGGCATTCAAGCAACCTGAATATCCTTATAAAGAAATCAATATCATCTTCATGTTAAAGCATACAGCTTTTCAGACCATTTATAGCTAGTTAGTAGTTACCATAATCATTGTGCAGAAAAACTTGAAGGCATCCATCACAACCAACTTTCCACAATCGCACAGTTTTGTCAATGGATGCTGTTAGAAGTTGCTGCAAGAAAAGATTTCAAGATGGAATTCCTATAAAATCCCTAGAAATTAACAGTCTAAACATAGAAACCAAAAGTTCTTTTCTAGTTTCTTAAACATGGTAAAGAAGCATGACTTACATTCGATGAAGACCATGAAAGATCGAGAATTTCACCAGTATGTCCATGGAATTCATGTCTTGGTTTCTCCAAGATCTTATAAGCCTTCTTCGGGAATACAACAGGAGCACGGTTACCATCTTTCATTCCAATTAAAGAGCTACATCTGCATTCACCAATACTATTGGCTGAACTATTTTCCACTTCGCACTTGCAAGTGGCTTCTGCTTCCTTAATTTGCCAGATGCGAACGATTGAATCTTCACCACCACTTGCTATATACCATCTTGATGGACTAAACTTCAAAGCCCTAATTGAACCAACATGTGCTCGGATTTCCTGCTCAATGAATATCCCCGTTAGTTCTCTGGACCGTCTCCTATTTCTCAGTCCATTCGTTCTTATAGTCCGGGGCAGTTGGGAATTTTTTATGGTGACATCATGCTCGCACATTCCTACCAAATGTTTCTTGTTGAGAATCCTTCTCCACCAGCTCCTATGCTTTCTCCTTGCAGCAACACTATCACACTGTTTTTCTGTAGCAAGCGAAACTTTTCTGTCCATTTGTTTATGAACAGAGCAGGGAAATCCGAGTAACTCTTCAAACTCCTGGTATGTCAAAAGTTTGTCAGAACCTAATTCTTTGAGCAAGCTGGGCAAACCATTATCCCCAAGCTCATGAACGATAAATACCTTTCCATTGTCCAGATTCCTTATGCAATCTCCTTGTATCCCATCATCCGTTGCTGAAAAGGAATCCAGGGCAGCACCATTGGCATTGGTAAGTCTGCTTATCTCAATTTGAGATTTCTTCATAGATGATGAGAAATCTGAGTGAGGAAAAAAAAGTTTCTCAAATCCCATATTGCATAAGAATTTTTGCCTTCTTTCCTGGACAGACTTCATGTCTCCCATCCATGATTCAGGATTGAAGATTCGGAGCTTGAATTCATCGTCTTCATCTGCTGAGAAATAAGATGATGCAGAGTCGACAGAAGTTCTAATGCTCTCGTCCCAGTCTAAGAACACTTCCCGCTCCACACAAGAGTTCTGCATGTTTACTCGGCAGTACTCAGAGTTCTCTGATCACTCAGCCTTTATGAAACATTTGATCCAAATGCGAAGATCTGAGCAACTTAACGGTGAGATACACAGCTTTAACATGGCAGTTGAGACTCTTAGAAGCTTCATAATATTCCACTGCAAGAAAATGACAAAAGGATAAGCATTGATAGATTACATTACACTAGATATGGCATAACAAATAGATATGTCACTGAAGCTTCAACATCACGTCATAAATGGATATTGGAAAATTTGCAAACACACCACTTAATTCTTATGTATTTACATCTTTAAAATCTAACCTTTCATATTTACATTTATAACACTATGGAATCATTTATTTATGCATGAAAAAGTGTATAAATGTATTTCACTCATTTATATAATTAACATGTTTTATTTTTATTACACTTCGAAACACCATGAACAATGATTAAACAAATGAAGGTAGAAGACACAGAAGCTTCATATATACGTACATACACACATAAAAACTTTCGAAAAAAGCTGAAGCTAAGCACCAGCATTTCAAGTATCCCTTTCGTCCAGGACTTCTCTCCAGAGTTTCTCTTCAAAGCCTATGCATTTACATACTTGCCGCCCCATTCTTCAGGGTTAGTTACTTTTTACATTTATATTACCTAAACTTTTCATATCGCATAAAAAAACACCCCCATTTTAACTCAAATAAGCAATTTCACGCTTCGGGAAGATGCCATGTATGTAAAAAATTAAAATTTAGGTGTTAGAAACATAAATACATAAGAATTGAGTGGTATATGTGTTAATCTTCCAAAAAAAATCCTAATTTGCCGCTACAAGCTACAATACTGATACATATAAACATTAACTAGCAATACTTGACAGCAATTCTAAAACAAATACTGCGCCACGCATGAAATCCAGGAAAACCCAAAATACTCCTGCACTTGCGATGACTCCATCGACTAGAACTTCGTCTAATATCTCTGTTGTGGAGCTCAAAATCCAAAACAAAAACCAAGTTTCTTCACCTCGAATTCACACCGGTCAAGTAAAATCATAGCAGCGTTGCTCAATCTCTCTATATGATGAAATCCCCAAACGCTAGGCGTGCAAGCAATTGCTTAAAACTAGATACGTAATTAGACAAATACAAACCAACCTCTGGAGTTAAATGGTGAATAAGAACGGGAAGAAAAAAAACTATTTGGTTAAATGATTGCCAAATAAATAAAACAAGTGGGAAAGTTAAGCGGCAGCGCAACCACCTCGAAATCCTCAACTGGGCAGCGCACGCACGAGCAGCCGACACGGGCGGCGAAGTACACGGCGTTCGAAGCGCTAACACTCGGCTCTCCCCTGCATCTCTATTCCCTCGCAATCCGTAGTAAAGGCTAAGGAGAGCGTAAGAAGGGCCTAATTATTAGGTGCGGAGGGCGCTGCGAGCTGCGCGCCCTCCTATCACAGCTGCACAGCCCTCGCACGCAAAGAAGGAGAACGAGATCCCAACGGAGCAATGACAATGAAAAAAATGGCTAAGACAACCTAAGGCAGCGCTATACTCTTCGCCTGCCCGAACGCATTAAAATCGCTTTTAAAGCGCAGGTCCTTATGATGCGTAGGCTCACTGCTGCTACTGAAAGGGATCGATCGTTGCAGGCGCGAAAGTTTTCGAGCGTCCGGCACTCTGTTTTTTTTTTTTTTTTCTTTGGAATTTTTAGTACAAAAAAAAGTGAATGCAGTATAGGAGGATTCAATCTAAAAACCTCGATGACAAATTTCAAAGCCGATTTCGATTGAGCAAGCTCGTACTCGAGCACTCTATTACGTGCCTACGAGCTAGCGGCGGTACCAGTACTTTACCTAGGCCTGCAGCGTTCTCTCTCCCCGGCCATTATAGCGCTCGTTCTTTGTCTCTTCTCAGCTTGGTCACTACAGCTTGCCTGTTTGCTCTGGATGGCCACGCTAATAAAATCGTGCCAGTTAGGTCCCGTTTTTTGCTTGTTGCATGTGAGCGGTGGACCTCTGAGCTCTGACGATCTGAAATCTGGGATCTCCTAATCTCGTATTGGCTCACAAAATTGATTCCGCCATTGCTTTCTAGAGCTCTAGTGTCTCCAAGTCGTTCATGGCAGTGACGATACTTCCAGATGATTGCACTACATCGAATTAGAACTAAATGTTTAGTACAGATGGGCTTCTAAGATGATAAAATCGCTCAGGGCGACACTGGATTAGCTCATACCATTGATTTCACTGTGTCGAAGCTTGAGAATTGAAAGTTCTGCTTTCTCCGACTTGCTGGCGTGATGGCAGTGGCGGTAATTGCTGAGCTCTAATTGACTTCTAGGACGATATAAAACGATGGCAGAGTATCGATGTGAAGTGATGCCGGGATGGATGCGGGAAGAAGAAGAAGAAGAAGAGAAAGCAGTTGAAAACGCGATTCCTACCGCTCCCTCGGTTCACTGCAGCTCGACACCTGGTTGAGGTTAATTTTAAGGCATCAGCTACAGGCGGGCGTGGTTCAGATCGATCGTACCGATGGTCTGTGCGTCAATCCCTTTTATATATATATATATATATATATATATATATATATATATATATATATATAAAAGAAATGAGAGAGATAGAGTCACATAAACAAAACTAACAATAAAAAATCTTATCTATCATTTTATTTCCTCATAAAGTAATCTCGGGAAAAAGGTGTAATATCTGAAATTTCACATCTGCTTCTTGGTTATGAGGGTAATTATATGATATTTTAGGTATTCTACTGATTAGAGCAGTATAAAGCTACTGCTCTACTCTCCTATGACATGGTAAGTTAGTCTAGCCTAACTTTGGCTTGATAGGTCGGTTCGATCAGCTTGTTGGGTTAGCGTACCCGGTTGGTTGGATTCAATTGACTTAAGATTGATGAGATTCACTTAGTTGGCTAGACTTACTGATTTTTTGGTCTTGTTTGATTGTTAACCCTCAGTTCGACAAATCGAGACTAGGCAATTGAGCAGAGAGTGGATCATTGTAACTTGATAGATAACTTATTACTTAATGATGTAGGCTATTTGAGACGATTGTGAAGCTCTGTTGTATTTTTGATTTTTGGCTCTAACGATGAACCTTGGCGACGTATGTGGGATGAGTGATGATGGTGAGGATCTGAATTCTTTTCTCAGTTTGATCTATCTGTCCAAGCTTGACTAGCCCAAAAATTCTTTTGTCATCAGCATTTGTCATAGGCTCGGATGGCTGTATCCAATGAGATAAGGTTTCTTGGTCTTGCTGATGGGGTTTTTTTTTTTTTTGTTATGTTTCCTTCGTTTTAGATCGTTGGATCTCCTCGGGATTCATACTGACGCATTCTTTTTATATATATGAAAAATGATTTACATTCGTACTGTTTTATATTTATATAAAAATATTGACATTTAAAGTTTTTAATAATTTATATAACATATAAATACAATTTTCAATTAGACTTTATGATCATGCATAATTCATATTGAACTTTAATAAATTAACAAGCAAAACATAACACAATATTTGACTTTTGCTTAGGAATAATAGAGTTCGCTAAGCTCTTCCACACCTTTTTTAACATCTTATAATTGATGAAATATTTCTTAAAACCAATTAAATTATTGTGCTCCTAATTTTTAGAATGTTGGACCATTTCATTGTTTGGACATCAAAAATATATTTAAATTTAATGAATTTATTAGATGTTCTTACCCATCAATGTTTATTTTAAACCTAGCTATAACACACAAATAATATATCTTATTTAAATCATAAAATAGCTAATTATAAATTAATTTCATGTATATCACTGAACAAATGAGCTTTTTTAATATAAATTAATCAGCTTTCCTAATGCCCGCTGACATAACTTGTTTGAATTAAAAATATGACATTTTATTTACAAATTGCATGATTCACTTAAGATAAGATACTTTATTTAGTTGGATGAAAAGTTGTATTTCTTGAAGGGTATCTATTATTTGTTCTTATGAATTACGAAATATGTCTTCTGATTTGTTTGAGGCAGCTACAGTTTATTAAGAAGCAGCTGTGAAATTGCCGAAGAATAATCTGATATTACAAAAAATTGTCGTGACTATAATAATTTTTTTTATTGAAAAATTCAAACCGCAGCTGTCACCGCACTTAGTCAGGACCAATGAGAAAACACTAATTTTAACTGCACCAAAAGCTGTCAAAACAGTTGGATGAAAAATTGTATTTCTTGAAGGGTATCTTTTATTTGTTCTTATGAATTACGACATATGTCTTATGATCTGTTTGAGGCAGCTACAGTTTATTAAGAAGCAGTTGTGAAATTACTGAAGAATAATCTGATATTACAAAAAATTGTAGTGGCTAAAATAATTTTCTTTTATTGAAAAATTCAAACCGCAGCTGTCACCGCACTTAGTCAGAACTGATAAGAAAACACTAATTTTAACAGCAGTTTTTAAAAATAGCTGCCAAAACGCAGTTTATCCTAACAAAAAATTAGTTACTAAAAAAGTTGTTTATGAGCACATAAATAAAAGGAATCGAACGCAGTTTACAATAATTGTCAATTTGAGTGAATTATACTACATGACGTCCTATTAACGTTTATTTAATTTGTGACGTTATCTAAGAATTATGGCTTATATTTACATTAGCCGTGGCAGCCACCCAATCTCGAGTCAAAAAATAACAATGTTTTTTATGGGACGGCGCAATTTGATATTTAGGCACCATTTTTTTATGCATGCCATGACAATTAAACTAATTAAAAGGGTTTTACTTTGGCCTATTACACTTATTAGTTAATCATTTATTTGGCATTGTCCAATAATTTTCTTATCAATGGATGGGGCATATCAAGGCACAAAATGATGTGTTTGTTATTAAGAATAACAATGGCTAATTTCATATTAATTCGGATACTAATCAATTTTGGAAAATATTCTAATTATATTTTATGTCTTACCACCATTATTTTTATTATTTTATGTTTTGAATCCTTAGATCTTAGATGAACACAAAGTTTGGATCACCTTCCATTATCATTTCATGTCATTCTATCAGTCCCCGGAGAGAAAAAGTTTGTACTCATTTCCTTTAATTGATCATTTTGGCATTTTCAAATTTTTCTGACACTTCTAGTTTTGGATTGTTAGGTCTATCTCAACTCCGTTTAATTGAACTTTTAGATATTTTTCAAATTTCTTCAAAATTCTAAAGTGCTTATTTTACTATCTTTGTTTGGGTGAAAGACTAATCATCATCTGATGGACAACACTAATGTTTTTGGTTTGTCATTAAACCATTGAATTCCAACCATTTCAATTCATCCACCACTTTATTTTGATTTAGGTCCTCTCTAACCACTAATTAGTCGACCATTTTAGAGTATTTGTACTGTTTATCATTGTTAGCTTTTTTTTGGAATCAACGACTTTCATTCGAAAAGAATCATGACTATCTATATTTGATAAGTCCATTGATCTTAAATTTTCCCTTTACTTTTAATTTTATAGGTAAGTTAGTCATTTTTCTCAAGTGAATTGTTCATATAGACACTCGCCTAATCCATATTGTTAAGTTTCTCCTTTCAGAGAACAAATTATTAACTCAACTACTACAAGTTATTGTTAGTTCTAAGTAATTTGTTCTTCCAATTATTATCTTTTTTAAAATAAGAAATGAGATGATATTCTCCGACTGCTTGTCAAATTTCAGCTAAATAAGCATTATACATATGTACTATAGAATCCTTTTAGGACGTAAAGTCACGTATTGCTCATGAGTACATACAACTCGATAAAGTTCGTGTATTTTCAGAAGGGAGGTAGAAGAACGAGATGGATGTGAGCCTTGAGAGGAGGCCCCAAACTTTTATATTGAGCTTGAACCTTTGGCAAGCCAGAAAAAATGTCTCAGAGAAGTTTTCTTGAATTGCAGTGTTTGAGAGAGGGAGAGAGAGAGAGGAACTTTGGAAAATATTTTAGATCTCCTCCACTCTTGAATTCCTTTTTATACAAAAATAAGAAAAATATAAAACATGTTAAGCACAGTACAAAACCCATCCATAATATCTTAATAAAAAGGCTGTGACTTAGATGTCAAGCGACACTTATAAAGAAGAATGGACTTGCATCCTGACTAGAATGATGACTATTTATAGTAGTTGTCCTCCCCCAGAAGGGCTAGGTCACCTCCACTGAAGAGATGAAATTTAACTACTTCGATAGGTGGACATGATTCAACCACTTCAACAAGTGGATTAAGTGTATTAGTTTTCATGTTAGAGTATGCAGAGAAGACCTATATTTAGGTACATGGTCGTATTTCTCTGTGTGTGTGCGACTTATTTTAAGCAATATCTATGTATTAAATGTCATCTACACCTCATGAGGGCTATTCTAATTACCTTTTGTGACTTCATGAATGTGGCATGCTAGAAAAATTTGAATGACAATGAAATATTTAGCCTTAGGCCAATATAAATTTTCAGCGGGTGCATAAATAGAAATGTAAGAGATATTAATTTTTTTTTTATGTAAAAAAATCTCAGAAAGGAAAAAACTCATGGGGTCTGACAAAATCAAAAAATCTATTAGAAAATTGAAATTATAGAAGTTCACTCTTCTCCTAGATTAAAGATCATGCAAATACAACAATCTACAATTGTGGCTATAGAGTTATAATTTGGTTAAAACAGACATAATCGAATCTCAATAATTGTAGTTGTTAACTACAATAGACATAATTGGCTACCAATATAGTAATTGATTACAAAAGTTATAATTGGTACATACAAAAGTCATAATTTGTGGTTAATTATAATAGTTGTAGTTAATGGCAACAATAGATTTAGTTTGATACAATAATTATAGTCAGTGGCTACAATAATCGTAGCTAGTGGCTACAATAGCTTTAGCTCGAAAAAATAGTTACAATTGGAGATGACAACTGTAATAGTTGGCTGCAAAAATTGCTAGTGATGGCTAACCATGGCTGGTGGTCGTTCACATGCACTTCATAATTTTTAGTTGTTAGCTTCCTTTCTTCTCATTCCACCTTTAAGTGAAGACTGTGGGATTATTTATAATTTTTTAGCCTAAATCTCAAAATCTTCCATAGGTTGGTCTACATAAAGTCTCTTGATCACATTTAATATTTCAATATTCTAAGTGTTTTAAAAACCTCAAAACTAAATGATCTTTACATGTTGGATTTCTCTCATTAAGTCGGTTAATTTGATTATAAGGATGCAAAATTTAGAGATTATTTGACCTTTTGATTTATATGTCAAAGTTTTCAACTATATTTTAAATGTTGATCTAGGTTCATCAAAACTTAGAATGTATCACTTTTAATGTCATTAGACATGTATTGTTGAGATGCTTCGTTTAAATATAAATTTGTTGAAGTCATAGCTTGGATGATCCTTAATTCGAATTTGGAAGATCTCGTATTCAAAATGCATCGAATATGATCATTTTGGCATTTTCAAA